GTGTATATCATCTTTAGATTACTCATAATCCCTTAATACGATGTAAATGCTATGTGAATAGCACCTTAGCCACTTGCTGATCAGCGTTTGAGGGATTGCTATAGCCACTTCACTACTTCTCCTGCCCCTGCACCGTATGCTAGCTACCCTCAGTTAATTCCTGGGATACGGAGCCCACAGATACAGAGGACTGACTGTAGTTTCCAATGTTAGCATATATAGAATTTAGTATAAAAAATACATGTTAACAAGTTTTATTTTCATGTAAATATATTTTAAATATTTTCCAGAAAGCGGTAGAGGAACCCCTTAATGGTATGTGATCATTACAAACTTGTGTGTTCTTGACCCATCACCAGATCATCATTTGAACTGGTCTCCAAGACAGTTTGAAAATATCCCTTCTGTGTCTTGAGAAGAATCTTGTTTATTCTCTTGAAATGACCCTCTCTTTTCCGGATTATTCATTGATAATTTAAGAAAGTACTCCCTTTGTAATATTTTTCACTTCTGGGGAGAATATACCATTCTTTGTCTCTTCACGTGTTACCTGACCCAGTCTTGTAATGTTTAGACAGAGTGTGCTCCATTCTCTTTTTAATATTAAGAAGTGTAACCGCTCTAGTCAAGAATAATTGTAATTGCTCACTGGTAAATTTCATGAAGATACAGGTGTCACCATGAGGTGAGACCAGACGTCTCGGTTTCTTTCTCCCTAAATCTAGACCTGTATTTCCGACTGGATGTACTAGTAGTCTTTGGAAGATGGCTGCAGTAAAGTGACAGCCTTCAAGCTAGTCTGGCTTGAGAGCATGTAGCATGATATTTCTACAGATTTGTTTCTTTAGAATTGATTTCTAACTGACTGTGCAACCATACTAACTGCCTGCTTGGCTTGTTACTAATTCTTAGCGTTTAAAGAATCAAAAGGAATGATGAATGAAGGTAAGTATAAAATGCACCTACACTTTTAGACTGGTTAAAACATGGGCATTAGAAACAGAAAATCGCTTCTTGAAAGTATGGCCTTGTTTTTCCTTTAACTGAAAGAGGCACTGTCAAATTATAAAGGTCCACATTTCTTGATTTATAAATTTTAAATATTTTGTAAGAGTGCATAGTTAAAGACATAAAAATTGTAGTGTCACCAAGATTCTCTGTTCATATCGCTCACAGCAGAGAGTCTATTGTCTTGTGATTACAACTTTAAAATAAGTCTGGCACAAATCTTTATCTTTTTGACAGTGTTTTTCTGGTTTGTGTTGGTGTTTTCATTGCACTTAATCCATGGGGATTTGATATCCGTGCTTTTCTTAGCAGGATGTGGCTCCAACTTCTTAAGAGAAAGTTGTGCAGTTCCTCTTTCTTCCTGTCCTCCTTCCTTCCTTTCTGTTTTGGGGGAATATGGACTAATGCCACAGGCCTGTTGACTGTGTCAAATACATACGTTTTTAACGGTTAAAGACAGGGAAGTCTGAGAGACTGAGTCCTAAGCGTTCATCTTTATTTTACATTAACATACTATGGTTCTTCATTTTTGTTATACTTTAGTAATTGTGTCTATGCTTTTACCTTATCAAAAATGTCCTGATATCGTTAATATTTATGGTCATCCCTTGGTCTCCCTTTGTGTTTTAAATGACCAGCTTTTATTTTAGTGTCTTAAAGTCTGTGTCCGCATTCTTACTTCCACAGCAAAGTGTAGCGTCCCCTGAGTGCAACTAATTTTAGATAAGACTGAGAACACCTTGATCATGTGGTAGTGCATTCATCTTACAACAGTGTGTAAGAGGCTGTGTTCCGCAAGAAACCATAATAAATACTCACTTTTGTAGCTTTGTGTCACAGCCTTTATTACAGAAGATGAATGTTTTATTGTACAAGTCACCACCTTTTTAAAAGAGGGAATTTCAGTTAATAGGAGTAAAGACGCTAAAAGAGTGGCTGCAGTGGTGACTGGTCTGCGCATGCTTACGTTCTGGTGTTCCCATTTGTCACGTCTATTGCTCATCTGTTGTGCTGTCGCTCGTCCGTAGCTGTATGAAGAAAACCAGCCCCTTTCCCCACTTCAGAAAGGCAGTCTAAGAACCTTGAGCGCTTTTCCCTTTGGTAATCGTTTAGACTTGATCTTTTGAACCATCCTACCTGGGAAAAACCGTAAAGCACCTTTGCTTTGAACATTTATGTGTTCGTAGCACCTGTTTCGAGTCTCTAATAACTTGGAAGTTTCCTTAGTCTTGTGATTATTTAGCTGATTGGGATTTGTTTTTGTTTTTTCCCTTTTGTTTAAATGTCTCCCTGGTGGCTTCTTTCCACGGGCTACTGCTCCAGGCTCATAGTTACATCTTGTCAGTGAATGAGGTGCAAAGTGCCACTTTCCTAAGCGACAGGCACCATTTCCTTTTCCAAGCAGACCAGCCATAAGTACCCCTCGCTCACATGGAATGTTGATAAGTAGTAGTTTAAATTGTTGAATACAAAGTTGACGATATGAAATGTAGACCTCCACCTAATAGACAATTTGAAGAATTATAAAATTAAATAAAGTGAAGGTAATAGAATATTATTCTAGGATCAGTATCTTTTGATCGGAATAAACTTCACTTGGCTTTTCCTCACTAACCAGCAAAAGGGGATTACCGAACTGTGGATGCTTATGTTCATTCGGCTTTGCCTGTTTACTTAGCTGAAACTGAAACACAAACGATCTGCTTGGCTTCTGTCTCTGACCTTTCACAGCTGATTTGAATCGTTTTTTTTGGTTTTGTTTTTAATTTTTAGAAACTCATCTGAAATTATGCCCATTTTTTAATGTCTGAACTTATGAATGCCTAGAAAATAGATATGAATAGTGATGATATGCTCACTTTTCAATTTTCCAGAATAATTGAAGAGGCCTGATGGATTGTGATGTGGCGTGAAAGGGATGAAACATGAAAGGAATACACTTGAGACTAAGCCCCATGGCCTTGACTCCGTGTTGGGGAGAAGAAAACAAGACAATTTGGTCTGGTCTAAATCTGTGGGAGAAAATAAATCATTTACCTTTACATGGTTGTTATGGCCAAGTTTTGCTTTTTAAAGAACTTTTTAGTTAAAAAAAAAATTATGATCTGTGTTGTGGGCTCAGTTAAGATCCCGTTTTGTTGTTGCTGTTTTTATCCACCTGGAGGCAAAATCGAGAAGGCAACTTCCAAGAATGATGCCTTGCAGATCCTAGGAGCTCTTGACGCGTCACCTGTTGACATTGGTACAAGGTGAGAATTCCGGAGCACCAACCTGGTGGCTATCTAAGAATCTCTCTGGAAAACAATGGCTTCCATTGAAATCGAGGGCCCCAGCAGCTTTGGAAAATACAATGTTAGCTGAAAGGTGCGTCTGCCACTTCTGGGCCATTAGTTGGGAACATCTTGTGTGCCACCTATGTGTTATGTGGTTCCAGTGGAGATAGTGGTCCTCATTCCTGGGGGTTGCCATGCATACATTCCTCTTTCAGCATACAACATAGCAGATCCTTGCCAGATTTAGGGAACGTTCATTGCTGGATGTGTTTTTTATGTAAACAACCCTGGGAACTGTGTCTTGTCCTCCTGCTGTTTGCTGCTGCTGTGCAAGACGCAGCGCCTCTTCTCCTCTGTGAACACAGTCCAGTGACACGATCGCATCAGGTGCAGAAAGGAGCCAGACTTACTCTCAGAGCACTATGTTCACACTTCCAGCAAAAATAGCTAGGGTTGTAACATATGTATTCCCTTCCTCCGATTCAAAGGCAAGCTCTCTACAGTGTTTCTTAACTCCTTTTCCAAAAAAAAACCAAGATTGAAGTTTGACCTATGAGACTCCTGCATGGCAACGTAATGTGTGTCACCCACAGGCCGGCCCTTGCAAAAGAGGGTGATTTGGTTGCTGTTGTATCTATGTTGCATGACAGACACTCATCACTTTCCTTCTGTCGTCCGGCCTCATGCTCCCCTCACTAGAGATGGAGAGGGCAAACAAAACCCCCACATTTCCCACCCCGGCTAGAAGAAAATTAACCTTCTGACAGTTGTGGTCGCCTGGAGTATTTTTAGATTATTAGCACTCGTTGTTTACCTCGTTTGTGGGTGTGTGTATGTGCGTGTGTAAGGTAGACACATGCATCTTCTGTATGGACAAAAGTGGGGTGCCTACAGAAGAGCATATGTGAACCTCATGCTTTTCGTAAAAATATTTCAAAATAAAAGACCTTTTTTTGGGTGGAATTATATTCGAATATTTGATCGCTAAAAAATTTAAAAACGTTTAGGTGTTTGCCAAGCTTTTTGATTGCTCACCAATACCCTCTTGAAATACTAGTAATTCTTCCTGTCTGTGTAATAAGACATTCCTATTTGTAGTTGCATTAAGAGTTATTTCTTAGTCCTCTGAATGTTCCCTTGTGCCTCTTTTATGCCAAATTAATCATCATATTTCATGTTTGGGACCAACAGGTTTGTCCACGGCAAACCTAAATTTAAAGACCTGCTGATGCCTCTCAAAAACAAACAAACAAGCAAAAAAAAACCGAACACGCAATGAAGACAGCTCCTCTTGAGAAAAAGGAAAAAAAGCCAACCAAAAACACCCTTTCTTCCCTAAGTGTGTCGCTGTCCGAGTATTAGCACACAGAGAGGGAGCTGCATTCATTCCTTCATGGAATTCTGATGGCGCCCGCTGCTCTTTTTCCTTCTGAAAATGTTTATGCTGCGCCAGTGTAGTCCGTGGCTTTGGGTATCAGTTTTGATGCAAGGAGAGGAAAAGCAGATGGACTTGGAAAAGATCCAAATCCCTCTTCTCTGTTAAGGAAAAGGTATGAAAATCTTTATAGTGGAATGTTTCATAAACGAAAGTACTTTTTAATATGCAATAAACTCACCTATTTGGAGTTTAGCCTTGGGAACGTGTTGTATTTAACACTGCTTGTCCTTAAGGGCATTCACTGTCCCAAGCCCTGCCATCAGAAGGCAGCAGGCACGGGTGGGTAGAGGGGCCAGCGGGGGTGGTGGTGTAAAAACCAGCTGATACCAAGGGCTCGGAGAGAATGTGAGAATGTTTAGAAAGTCATGATGGCGACATATGTGCAGATACGCTTGATGCAGTCGATGTCAGGGCTGTTATGAGAGCCCCAATAAAGGGATCTTTAAAAGAAGAGGACGAAGGTAGCAGGCAAGATGCCAGGGGAAACGATTAACCCTTCTGGTGTCAGCTTCTCCGGAAAAGGGACCAGAGCAGCAGGAATCATCTTGCTGGGCCGTCGTTGGGCCAGTTCCTTCTTTTAAAATCAGACTTGAAATGGCTCCCGATTTCCTGTCACACCAAATTAAAATGGCTAACAGTGCTTTGTGTATTGCTTACTTCTTCCTCCCCACTTAGAGTCAGCTTTTTCACCCACTGATTCCAATCACGTACTGTTGATCTTGCGCTCATTTGTCTGTTCTTTTCCAATTGTACATTCTGAGTAACACCAGTTATGATTTTCTGCAACAACCTTCCCAAGGATTTTGGCCCAATCAGAATCTACCGTCCCCACCACCGCCTTCAGCACATGCTGGTCCTGCCCTGCTTCCCCATTGGCTCTCCAGTGCCCTCCCGCCCTCCAGCTAGTGCCCGCTGTCCTCTCCCGCGTTCCTTGCCCCTGTGTACCTCTTGAATTTCTGCTTAGCTCTGTTGGTTTTTCCATTTGTCGGGCCTCCCAATTTTAAAATTCCTTCAACAGCAAGAACTTTTCTTTCGTTTTTCTTCCTCTTGCAGTGTTTGTATACTCTCACTCAGTGCGTAAGTTTGATGATTGAAAGTTGGCTGTATTTGGATTTACTAGAGTGATTAACAGGGTGAGCCAGAGAGTGGTTTTTTTGTTTGTTTGTTTTTGTGGTGTTTTGGGGTTTTTTTGGACAAATTTCACATCTTCTGAAAAACCTTTAAAAGTGGTGATATTTGAACAAACTCCGGGGCTGTTCTGTTTAAATTCCTGATGAGGTCAGAATTAAATCAGTGGGTTTCTCCCTTAATCAGGATGCTGTTGTCCAGTTGGTAAATGACTAACCAATTGTGGTTTCCGTTCATGAAGCTCCAAAAGTGGCAGTGCTTACAATAAGAATCAAGCTCTGTATCACCTTGTAGATTTCTTTTGTCCTAAGATGGGTATTTACAAACGGACGTCTGTGGGGTATGAATGGAAATACATTGTGTGTTGGAAACTGGAGAGATGATTATTGGGCAACCCTTTATCTTTTTATTGTATTTCATTTGCTAGTTTTGTTTTGTTTTTTTACATTTGTCATACTTGGAAACTAACAGCCTTTGCCCACTGGGGTCCTTTGTCCAGTTACTGTCAGTAGCTAAGAGATAATCCAGGTAGCTTTTAAGAGATGAGCTGTGAGCGGGAAGTTTTTCTGCCTTTGGCTTTTGGGAGCCCTTAATTATGATTTTGTAAGATCAGCTCTCCCACAATTACTGCCATTTTGGAAGGGAAAAAAACAAAACAAAACACAAAAGATCGTAATAAGCTTCTCTGTAAGGCGACATCATTGGGCTCTCAGAAGTGTTGTTATCATAGTTGCCGAAAAAGAAAACACTTTTGTTTTGATTGAATTGAGCATTATTTACAAAATGCCATTGTTGAGCATTGGATCCCACATTGTATAAATATCCATTAACCATTCTAAATAAAGAAAACTCCTGTGTTGCTGCGTACAGGAGCCTCCCTCGGGGCTCTTTTGCATAGCAATTAAAGGTGTGCTGTTTGTCAGTAGCCATTTTTTTGCAGTGATTTAAAGACCAAAGTTGTTTTACAGCTGTGTTGCCATTAAAGGTTTTTGTTGTTCGGTTTTTAAATTTTTTTATATGTATTAAATCAATCTATCACTGTTGGAAGCTTTGAATATCTGCGATCTTTGCCAAGATACTTTTTTTTAATTTAAACATAACTTTGTAAATATCGCCCTGTATTATTATATATACTTAATAAAGCATTTTAAGCTATTTTGTTGGGCTATCTTTGTTGTTGCTTCAGCAGACCCCATGTACGTTTCTAAGGGATTTCATTTTCTGTGTGTGTTTTCAAGGCCATCTTCTGGGTAACCGTGCAAAGAGTGACAATATCTTGTCTATAAACTTTTCTTAAAAGAATATTTCCACGATATTTTATTAGGGTGTTTTCAAGTTCTTATTGTAGGTAATGACACAGTAATGTGAAGTATTAAATATATAAACCCTTTTTAAAAAAATAAACTTCCCACTTCCCTCAATTCTGACTCCTCGTGACCCTGTGCAGGGTTTTCAAGGCTGTAAATCTTTAAGAGAGCAAATTTGGGTTTGGTTTGCTGACCTTCCAACGCTTCCCCAACTGGCATCAAGGCGATACCCAAAAAGAAAGCTTAGTTGAGCATAGTTTAAGTTTAACCAAGTCCACTGTGTTCCACAATTTTAAAAATCAGTCTTTCCCACAGTAGAGTGAAAACTGCGATCGCAGGCGGCCTGCATTCTGTCCCTGGCTTTGCTGCTACTCCAGAGAGCCTGGGGTCCTGATGGTGTAATGGGTCAGCTGTTCCATGGGAGAAAGAGGCGCTTTCTGCTTCCATAAAGCTTTCTCATCTCAGAGGCCCACAGGCAGTTTTATTCCGACCGATAGGGTGGATAACGGCCGGCATTGACACAGCCGGGAGGGGATTGAGCAGAGAACTTTGGCAAGCCTGTCTCAGGAGTGGTCCTCATCTGTCGGATAAGCTGACCTCTTACAAGACTGACATTTTTGGCCCATCACGTTAACTTGGTGACCAATCAGTTTGATTGCAAATGCGATGAAAAGGGTGAGGGGTTGGATTTATTGGCCCATGTAACTAAAACATTTGGCGGTACAGCTGGATTCTAGAAGTCAGCAGTACCATCCCAAGTCTGATGGGCTTTCCGCTTGATTGTTGCTTTTACTCCGCAGGTTATGGGTAGTGGCTTGGCAAAATAGCCACCCGAGCTCCCAGGCCCACCTTTCAGATTCAGGGGTGGGCAGAGGGAGGGGAAAATGCGTCTCTTT